GTTTTTACAAAACAGATTTAATGCCACGTCACTTTTTTTAACAAAAAACGAAAGCTCTGTTAACGAACTTAACTATCCCGTCACCTAAATTGACGATGTGCATAAAAAACTCAATTTGAAGGTTTATTTAGCTAAAATTGTTACTTTGAAGGTTTATTGTGGAAGTGATAAACTCTCGAGGTTTAAAGTACTAGTGGTTCTCACTTTAGAGGTTTTTTTATGCGATTTTTCTATACTTTATGTGGTAATCCGAGGTAATTTTGTTACATGCTACCACATAAATCGATTTGTAACCATGTTATAGCCACAACATTTTGGAAATTTTATAATATACTAGAAGTTTTTTTTTTTTGAAAAGAAATCACACCAATATATGTACACATTAGTTTGTTATATCAATCAATATCTCAAATTACTGAAAAAATGAACGTAGCATAATAGATCATGACGAAATATTTTCAGATTAAGAAAATGTTAAATATCTTTTTTTTTGTCGTAACTAAATATCTTTTGTTTCTCTCGCTTGATATTTTTATTAATCAAATTGTCTAAAAAGGTAAAACCAGTATCTCTCAATCCAGTTTTAAAGAGCACCAATATCTCTTCCAAGCAACAATAGAAAGCGAAAAACAGTCTGACTACTTCTTCTTTCTCTCGCTGTTCAACCTCTTCGATGCGGTATAAGTTTTGAGCATGAGCTTCTTTATGGTCGCGAGACCCGTAACATCCGAGTGCACTGTAGCAGCGCCGACTAGCTCGTCGTAAGAAACGTCAATATCTGTAATATACTTTATGTGGTAATTCGAGGTAATTTTGTTACGTGTTACCACATAAATCGTTTTGTAACAATGCTATAGCCACAATATTTTGAAAAATTTATGACATACTTTTTTTACTTTTTTGAAAAACATTTGAAAAGATATCACACCAATACATGTACACATTAGTTTGTTATATCTATGAGTATCTCAAATTACTGAAGAAATGAATCTAGCAAAATAGATCATGATAGATTGTCAGATTAAAAAAATGCAGTTTGCATGTCATGTTCTATGTATTCACACAGAATGGATCGAAGACATTCTGTAACTCATGTAAAGCAAAGATTACCATTATGTAACTCAGTGTAGCTCTTCTCCCTTTAATCACATCATGTGCAATTTGCATGTCGTAATCATAAAGGACGAATCATGATAGATTGTCCGATTAAAAAAAGAAAAATTTACCTAGAATAACCTACTTTAAAAAAAAAATAGTTAGAATAATCTTACCATTTTTTTTATTGCTGAAATAACCTATTCTGGATTTTTTTTTTCTTTCATAATACCAAAATTGTCCTTGGCAGACTCTGCCGAAACATTGGCAGACTCTGCGTATTTCTAGATATTGGCAGAGTCTGCCAATACATCGGTAGAGTCTGCCAATATTTTGGCAGAGTCTGCGTATTTTTAGATATTGGCAGAGTTTGCCAATACATCGGTAGAGTCTGCCAATGTTTCGGCAGAGTCTGCCAATACCTCGGCAGAATCTGCGAAAAAAAAATTTGGTATTATGAAAGAAAAAAAATTTTAGAATAGGTTATTTCAGCAATAAAAAAATAGTAAAATTATTCAAGCTATTTTTTTAAAAAAATAGGTTATTCTAACTAATCTCCCTAAAAAAGCACTTTTCAACCAAAGTACTTCTCCTACCTTTATGGTTTTGAGTTGTTCGAGATGTTGTGTGATTTAAATTTTGTGATAATATTGTAGATTAGCATATAAAAGACGATCTAAATTTATACATTTTTTTTTGTATTTTCAGAAGAGATGTGTAATATGTAAAATATGTTTTATAATATTATCGTATTATATAAACACCAAAAAGGGAATTGCATATGTACATACATATAAGATAAACAATGATTTATGTGAAATTCATGTCATATAACATTATAGTAATGTACAACGGTCTTAAATTCTGAAATAACAAAAAAATTGATATGTTAATTAATTTGGTGCAACTAAAAAAACAAAGAAGTGAATTGTGTGGTATTTTTAAACACAAACTAAACATTTTTCAAGTCACTTTGTAACAAACATTGTAAAACCTATTCAGCCTAAATTCTACTGTCTCTTATGTCTTTGATTGAAATTAGACAATTGTTTCTCACATTTAACTTTGTCTCCAACTTTTGGCATCTTAAGTTAAAATTCAATGATAAACTAAAATCATTGGATGATTCGATGAGTTGCCAGTTTAGAAGAAACCCTCTTATAACGTACTAGAAAGATTTACATGTCGTCGTCTCCCAAATAACGCTTTCCTATTTTTTTTAGATTTTATCATGCCTTTTCCATAGCTCTGAGAAATATCTGCTCCCTCTCCTTTGCTTGAGCAAGCTTCATTATGTCTTTTGCCGAATTAAAGTCTACATACTATATCATCTCTCTAATTTTCTAGGCATATTCTAACTATTTTTTGTTCCATCAAGTTTACGTCACATTATTACGAGATTATGCGTTTCACTGTCTCTTTCAAAATGTGTGCCCAAGAGCGATTCTTTCATCGGCTACGATTCTGTTTGTTTGATTTTTTTTTTTGTCGCAGTCGCTTGTCGTTGCGTCTTGAAAAAGAACATGACCTGTGTAAGATGAACCGTGTCCAACTAAATTAGCAGATGTAATTAGATAGTTAATCCAAATTAAAGCCAGATCGAGATGATGAAGGATCTAATACAACAACAAAATAAATGGGTAATCAAGATCTATTAAAACAAAACCAACATATCTTACATCTATTAAAGCTCAGATCTATTATTACTTACAAGGAACTCCAAAATGGGATTCACAACCTCATGTCAAAACCAAAGTCATTCCCGAAACAGTGATTCTCAGATCGTCGTTGTTCATGTGGAACAAGTTAGCCTTTCCGGATGTCTGAAAAAAGTTTACAACGCCTAATGCTTGACCACCAGAAGATGGTGGGGGCTGAGGAAAACCGAATTCCTATAGAAGCATCGGTCGGTTCGACTCCAGTAGAAAGATCGGTCTGGTGGATTCCGATAGAAGCATCGCTCGGTCCGAATTCGGTAGAAAGAGTGGCCGGAGTATTTTCGCAGAACAACGAAGTTGAGGATTTTCTAGAACAAATTATCTTCGTCTTTGCAGAGCAGAGCCACATATTTGAAAATATTCCTAAAATGAATTCGTTCCAGATCTTTTTCTATTTAGTATTTATTAATTTAGTTTGTGTATCCGGTGAACTTCAAGACAGACTCGTCGCCCTAGCCGCCTGTGAGAAGAGAAAAAAAGAGCGATTTTGTGAATACTCGGCCGATGGCCGGAGGCTACTTTAGCTCCATCATCGGTCGAGTTTAGTCCCGTAGATCTCTTGTAGATTGACTTTTTATCTGTTTCGGTGATGGATTTCTCGGATTTTGGCTGTGAGTTCTCGAGATCTGGCTTGGTGATGTGTGGTTTCGGATCTGGTTTGGATTTGAGACGAGTTGAAGATGGACTGAGCTTTGTTTGGTTAAGAGGTTCAGGTTCTGGATCCGATTTTTCTCCTCTTCTCTCGTTTCTGGTTTAACCCAATGTGTCTCCCCTTTCGTCGGTTTCAATGGTCAGAGTGTCTATCGGTAGAGCGGCATCTCGTCTGGTGGTTTAGAGATCAAGTCCTTGTTGGTGAGAACTTTTTCTCTAGGTCTCGGAGTTGGTCCTTGTAGCGGCTTGTCGGGATGAGGTTTTCGTGCTCTGGCTTGTCTTTGAGCTTTGTTTCTCTTATTCTCGGTGTTGATGCTGATAGGTATGCACTTCTCTGATTCTCATTAGCAGGACCAGTTCATTTGGGTTTTAGTCCTCTGGTATCGATTTGGTTTGGTAWTAGGTGGCCTTTTGTCCTTGATGTTTTGTTGTCTTTGCTGATTGTGGTTATGATGGAGTCCCATATTTGCTGCTGGTGGTCTTTGAGGGTTCTTTTCCTCGATCCAGTGCCCTTTAGTTTGCTTGTGTGAGTTAGGGTTCTTTTAGGCGAGGAGATGTGCATGGTTGTCGGTCCCAGGCGTTTGTTTGTGGTATATGCGTTTGGTTGGTTTCAAAGGTTGGTTTGGTGTTCTCGGTTAGACTCGGTGGTCAGGTTACTATTGTCTTGGCGTCGCTGTCTCCTCTGTTTTCCCAGTTTACATGGTAAGGCTACTCGACGTTGGTTCTTTGCTATGTTGCCTTTATCTCCCTGCGTTCTTATCCGCCTTCTCTGTCTGCTGGTTAAGTTAGTCCTAGAGCCGCGATTTGGTTATCCAGGTGTTTGGGTGTGCCTCAAGGTTTAGGTTCTGTTCTACGCTTATGTTTGTTGGCTCAGATTTGGCTTCTTCACGTTCCTTGGTTTAGTGTGTGGGTGTGCTATTGGCTTCGTGGCTTGAGCTTGAGGTTTACATCATTGCTTTCCTTCTTAATCAAATACCTTATCTTCTTTGTTTTTAGTTCATATGTCTCCTAAGGGCAAAGATTTGTCTATTTGAAAATCTTTGTATCCTTAGACTTTACCTTCTATATCAATGTCTCTGGAGAAACTTGTATTCCTTGGCTTTGTTTGTAGTGAACTTGTTGTCTCTTGTAG